GGGTGCTCTGGTTTCCTCCCACAGTCCAAAAATGTGCAGGCTAGGTGGGTTGGCTATGCTAAATTGCCCATAGTGTTCAGGGATGTGTAGGTTAGGTGGATTGCAGGGGGATGGGGATGGGTCTGGGTGGGATGCTCTGAGGGTCGGTGTGGACTTGTTGGGCTGAAGGGCCTGTTTCCACACTGTAGGGATTCTATAAAAAAAAAACCACTACCTCATAATTGCCATTCTGAATTGATTGTTCAAGGTAATAGGGTGCCATGATGAGATATCAGAGCAAGATCTAGAAAGTAGAACGCTTTCTCACCAAATAGGGGAATGGACTTTCAGGAGATATTTATAGGCCTATCCAAACCTTAATGTATCTAATATCAAAATATGTAGCACTGAGATACAACAAACCTTTTACCATTTCAAAAATAGTGCTTTTCCATCTCGTAGTCTTCACCTGCAAGAATTCCTTCACTCACTCACATTGTACCTTTTCCTTTTGCAGCAAAATACATTGATTTGCAGGAAGTTGCAATCAAAACCATAATGTCAGTGGAAATTGTTTTCAATGGTGTTAGCCACATCCCTGATATGGAGAACTGACATGAGTTGGCACTTTGAGTTGGTCACTTGTTTATAAATAGATAACGGACATTTCCCTTAATCTGCTGCTGTAATACAGACATATTTTGACTTGAACTCCATTAAAAGAAAACCGTGTTTGTGTTGCATTTACGACTGTTAACTGGAAACTCCTGGCAAAATAACTTTTCTCCAAGTTGTAGGGGCTTTTTTAATTGCAGTGAAGGCTGGAGATCAAGAGACAGTAATTTCAATGAGTCTCAAGTGACATTACCAGCCAGGAATAAAATTCCTGTTCAGTGGCTGTTCAATTACATTTTAAAATAACAGACTACTCCTTTCAGCAGTCACTGAACAGTAGAAGTAAAAGTTTGATTCTGCCAGAGTTTTTTTATCACTGTCTTGAATGTGACCTATTTTTTTTGAGAAAGTGGAGTTGGTGTCCATTTCTGAGAAGGCTAATGGTAGCTTTTTTGATGGTGACTGCCACATCCTCCTAGTGGTAAGTTAAAGAGTTGGCTTCACTATCGCAAAGAGGCTAAAGGCCATTTTGGATGTTGGTTATTGAGGTTGTAAAAGTGATGAAAGTCAGCAGGAAATGTAAAATGCTCCAATTTTTTGAACCGAGCATCACTCAGGGCAGGTATAGCATTAGCAACAGATAAACTTCCTCTACATGTTCTCCGTCATACGCTCTCAGGACAGATACAGCACGGGGTTAGATACAGAGTAAAATAATATGGTATTTCTATTTCTAACACAAATGTGCTTATGTGCTGCTGAGAAACAGTTGGTCTTGAGGTTTTTTTATTCACTCATGGGACATGGGCATCACTGGCTGGCCAGCATTTATTGCCCATCCCTCGTTGCCCTTGAGAAGGCGGTGGTGAGTTGCTGCTTTGAACCACTGCAGTCCAATGCTGTAGGTTGACCCACAGTACCATTAGGGAGGGAATTCCAGGATTTTGACCCAATAACAGGGGAGGAATGGCAATTATATTTCCAAGTCGGGATGGTGAGGACTTGGGGAGGAACTTGCAGGTGGTGATGTTTCCATGTATCTGCTGCCCTTTTCTTTCTAGATGGTAGTGCTGGTGGGTTTGGGAGGTGCTGCCAAAGGCTCTTTGGTGAATTTCTGTAGTGCGTCTTGTAGATGATACATACACACTGCTGTTGCTGAGAGTTAGTAGTAGAGGGAGTGGATATGGTTGTTTGGAATTATGATGAAATTAGATAATTTAAGCAGACTAGTGATGGGGGGAGGTAGGGCTTCTTTTCTGGAGTCTCTATGTGGTCAAAGATAAAATTAGTATTCCTAGAGTGAGGAAATATTTAATATTAGAAGAGATCTGTGATCATTGTTTAATTTTCTTAGCTTGTGTAGTGGTAAAAATACGACCGCCTGCATGCCTGTGTATTTGAGGGGGGACTCAGCCAGGGTTCTTGCTTTTGATCCTTATCAACTGGCCTGTGCTGGGGGTGCATATATATGTGTGAATGACACAGAATATTGATAATCTGAATCTCACTATGAAAGTGAATGGCTGACGTGAATGGCATTGTTGTATTTAAGGGGAAGCTGGATAAACATGAGCGAGAAAGGAATAAAAGGGTCTGCTGCTGGGCTGAGGTGAAGTAGTGGTGGAACGAAACTTACGTGGAGTGCAAACACCAGCCTAGACCTTTTTTGTGCCGAGTGATTTTTCTGCTGTACGTTTTATAGCTGAAAGCAGGATCAGCTTGAGCTAAGCTCATTCCTACATCCTTATGCTGTTCATGTGTTGCAGTAATGTCAGTACCAGCCTGCTTATGATTGTTTTGCATTATCTGCCAGTCTGGAAATATCTTTATTTCAAAATTCATGTCCTTGTTTTCAAATCTTTCCTTAGTTTCCTCACCCTCTCCATAGCTCTAAGTTCCTACAGCCCTACAACCCTTTCAGATCTCTGCAGCCCTCTTCTCTTGCACATTCTTGACTCAATCATTCCATGTTGGTGACCATGTTTTTTAACTGTCCATAACACTATAAGAAATAGGAACAGGAGTAGGCCATTCAGCCCTAAAGGCTGCTCTGCCATTCAACAGAATCATGGCAGATCCAACACACTCCCCACATCCACTTTTTTTCTGCCCTTTCCTTTGATTTCCCCTACTAATCAAGAACCTATCTATCTCAGTCTTTAGCATACACAAGGACTCTGTCCTCACAGCTCTCTGTAGCAAGGAGTTCCAAAGACTCTCAAACCTCAGAAGAAATTCCTCCTCATCTCTGTCTTAAATTGGTGCCCCTTTATTTTGAGACTGTGCCCTCTGGCCCTAGACTCTCCCATGAGGGGAGACAGCCTCTCAGCATTTACCCTGTCAAGCCCCTTAAGAATTTGTATGTTTCAATGAGATCATCTCTCATTCTTCTAAACTCTAGTGGGTAGAGTGCCAACCTCTTTAGCCTTTGCTCATTACAATGATCCCTGGTATGGAGGGATTATCTTGTGAACTTTCTCTGAACTGCCTACTTATGCTCCCACACCTTATGGTTAGATAGGGGTGGAAAACAAATTCAATTGCAAAAAGGAAAGGGTGGGGGAAATCATCAATGGTGAAGTCAAATTAAGGTCATACCTTGAGTCCATTTCAGCATGCTACAGCAATGCTGCAACGAAAAGCTGAGGAGCTCACAGAAGTATGGATATGATTAAAATTGAACCAATAAACTTCTTTCACGGTACTCCTTCATGGACCATGATTTCGCACTGGTTTTCAGCCTGTTGAGGGGGATGTTCACCACACTTCCCAGTTGGAAAGAGGTAACCTTGAAGTCAAAGGAATGTTCTAAACGTTAGTGAAGAACTGAGCAATGCTTATTGTGCACTTTAGCCAATAGAGATTCTGATTTGTGTCACTGACACTTTTGTATTGCACTTCACTGTCATGATGGTTTAGGGAATGTCTCAAAATTATGCTGCCCTTTGGAAAAGAAAGAAACACAAACTCCATCTGTTGTGCTAAAGCATGAACAGAAACCCAACCAGCCAATTACTGAAAATTATTTTAAATAGGTAAACATTACCCATCTCTATTTAATTACTTAAATTAACTCAGCCATTGTATCACAAAAGCTACAATGATCGTATGGGTGGAGAACAGAGCATAGAAACAAGATTAAGCTATTCAGCTCATTAGGCATGTTTCATAATTCCATTAGTAACAAAATGAAAAGCACTTTATGCCCAAGTTATCTTTCTGATTAATCGGATACACTTCGCCAACATTCTTTTCATATTCCACAAATCGTTTTCAGCCCAGAAACAGGCAAACACTCACAGAGCAATAAAAAAACCTTTAGCCATTAGCCTCACTCATTTTACAGACCGTATACCATGCCATGGACTCTAGCCCACCAGTTTAATCTGTAGGGTAATTGAACAAAACTCCCAAATGTTCATCCAGTTCCCCAACTCAACCCAATTTACTACAAGTAAACTGGAGATCAACTTTGATGCTTCATTTGTTGCATCTTTGTCATCTAGGAGTCACCAAAACAGATTCCAGGAGCTCCCCATAGGATGGGAAAAGCAAAGTGGCATTTCCCTCTCTGGCCCCACCCTTGAGGCCAATGTTATGTATCTCTTACTGGCTATGCCTGGGCAGCAGATTTTCAGTCTGTCTTTTTGGCTTTGCATGATATCAGCACAAGGAAAACAGAATGCACAAGATAACAATGTTCTGGAATTTCTGAGGCTTGAAAGCTACAGCATTTACAGAAAGTCTGTTCCATTTAATCACAGACTATTTAACTTTAGGTCATAGAAGGGGAGGTGATGGCCTAGTGGTAATAACACTGGATTGTTAATTCAGGGACCCAGGTTTGAATCCTTCTATGGTAGATGTTAGAATTTGAATTAGTAATCTGTAATTAAGAGTCTAATGATGACCAGGAATCCATTGTTGATTGTCAGAAAAATCCATGTAGTCCACTAATGTCATTTAGGGAAGGAAACTGCCATCCTTGCCTGGTCTGGCCTGGCCTGGCCTGGCCTTCAGACAGCAATGTGGTTGACTCTTAGCTGCCCTCTGGGAAATTAGGGATCAGCAATAAATGCTGGTTCAGCCAATGATGCCCACGTCCTGTAAATAAACTTAAAAGTAATCTGGGTCTGTCTCTCTGAGACACACAAGGGAGACCTCACAGACGAGAACCTGACACAGTGAAGAGATACAGTGGACAGAGGGGTCAGAAGGATCTTAAGAGACACAAGGGATGTATGCAGATCATGCAGGAGGCAACTAAGTTTCATTTGCTACTTCAGGCTCTGTATGATTAACTTAATGTGACACAGATGTCTGGGGTTACTGAATTACTGCTCCTCACCATTTCCTTGCATAGTTACCTCCTCATACTGTTTGCTTCAACCCCTTTTTGTTGGCAGATCCCAGGATGTTTATCGTTACTCTTTGAGTGAAGACAGTCTCACCTTTATCTCCCATCTTATAAGGTTTCAGACTGTCTTGGTGGATAGCACTCATCATTTATTTCATTGCTGCTGTGAGATCTTGTTTCCTACATTACAACAATAACTATGCTTCAAAAAGACTTCATTGGATGAAAAGTGCTCGTGGACATCCTGAGATAATGAAGAGTACTGTATAAATGCAAATTTTTCCTTGTCGCTCCCTGATTTTAACTTGTGCTGCTTATTGTTTGACCTTTTTGCAATTTTTGTGAATGTAATTATATATTTAGAGAAACTATAACAACAAGTTTTTATTTTAAAAACCCACAAGTTAGGAGAGAGGTGCTGGACCTATTAACTAACAGAATCTTATGAGGAGACAAGGAGAGCAATTGATGAAACACAGACCTGGAACAGCCAGTACCAGGACACAGGGGAAAAAAGAGCCATGGCACTCAGCATTCAGCCAGATGGTAGAAAGTCCACAAATTGTTTGCATGCAGATAATACACAGATAGCTAGCACACAATAAGCAACCAGCTTGCAGACAAATCAGTGATTGCCTGGCCAGTAAGCTTACAACCAGCTGGTGAACCCACAATGAGCTTGCAGTCAGGTTACCAACACCAGCGGACCATGGGGCTCAGCTCCCCAGGTTTTGGAGGCATGAGCTGCAGGATTAGGAGTAATGGCAGAACAGGACCAGGCAGTCAGAACAGTGATGAAAACTTCGCACTCTAGTGCCTTAAGACGTTCACTGAGATGATTCTACCACTCTGGCTCCCAATTCTAGAACCAAATTCAAAAGTTAACAGCTTGCTGTTATTTTCTTCCGTGTGTGTTATTGTCTCAAAGTCTGGTGGGGGAGGAATTTGGCAACATGTCTTTGCCATAACTGCGTTAGTTCAATTCAAAATCTTGACCACTTCAACAAGATCACATTTCCAGAGAAAATAAGCTATTCCTTCTGAACTTTATCACAACTACTTTATACTGCTCCCAGGTATCAGAAATTAAACTGCTTAAAGCTAAAATCCTGTAACCAGGGACAGTTGAGGTTTCTTCAATCTGGCTTGCTTTATTTTTCATTAGTTGACACTTGACAGTGTATTGCTGTTCTTCCCACCTACTCACCTGAGGCCGCTTGTGACCCTCATTCTTCAAAGGAAATCAACAGCTGCAGTGCATTAAACATACTCTCCACCTTGATTAACCTCTGAGAATTCTTTGCCTTAACCAATTTTATTTGAAATTTGCTTTCTTCCCTGATAAAACAGGAAAATAGCTTGTACAAAGGAGTAACTCTCAAAGAAAGGGCTTTGTAGTTTTTTGTATAGTAATGTTCTTAAACTGCACATAATACTCCAGCTGGAGTCTGGAAAGCACCTCATGCAGCAACAGTAGAACCTCTTAAGACTTTTACTCTATTCCTTGGCCTGTGTAACCTAATTGTATACAATTTTACAATAAAAGAATGTTTGCATTTGGTGGGTTGAAGTTGAAGAAGTCGCATGAACTGTGCTGTAATTTTTTTTTTAACATTCTCTAACAAGATTTCTGCTGAGTATCTTACTCATGCCAAAGCAAGTAGTGCATTTATCAGGAACCTACAGTGCTGATTTGACAATGCAGTTGACAGGCAACATTATTTCATAAAGTTTCCATTGAGGCAACATTCAGTCACAAATAAAAGCTGTTTCAAAGCCACTGCAGTGAACACAGACACTACAACCAGTCTTAAGTTGAAAATAATGGTCAGGATTTTCAGCAGAGTTGTCAACATTGCACAGGTACGAGTTGAGAGGCTTTTTGGTCACAGGTTATCAACTTGGCATTAAACATAAGCATGATTAAACATGTTAACAGAGCAAGGATGAAGTGTCCACAGCTCTGTCTCTGTTTTTCTGTAGCCCAATAAACTGGGATTTGCTTTCTCATGGTGGAGAACAAAAATGAGTCTCCTGCAACACTCTCAGGTCTGCCTTTCAGAAGAATCATAGTTTAATCAATGTTTAAAAGTCATTTGTAGTTCAGTTGTACATAGAATACTCAAGTTTCTGTAGGTCAAAAATAAAACAATTGGTGGTTCAGTGTGCTAAACCACAGGGCTCTTGTGGCAGTCATAATGCCCTTCCTTTGAGCCAGAAGACCTGGGTTCTAGTCCCAGTTGCTCAAGAGGTGTATCATAACCCACCTGAACAAGATGAATCAAAATATCTACCATGACCTGGACTGAACAGTTCCTGAAAACCTCTGTACTGAATGACTTTATCAGCCCTGAACTGATAGCTAAAGATGTATTCTCTTAACATTGATCCTGGCAGTTGCACAGAAGGCCTGGTATGAATGTGGCTCAAAGGATAGTAACATTAGGTGGTAACTGAGGTAAAAGGTCATGGGTTCAAGTCCCTTTTCACAGAGCTGAGATCCAAAATCCTGGCTGTCACTCCCAATGCAGGACTAAAAAAAGAGTGCTGCACCGTCAAAGATGCTGTCTTTGGATGAGATGTTAAACTGAGATACAGTTTGTCCGTTTGTGGATGTAAAAAAAATTTCATGACACTATTTGTCCACAACACTATTCGTTTCCCAATCAATACATAAAATAGATTATTTCATCATTTAGTTTATTGCTTTTTGTGGGAGCTTGCTATGCACAAATGAGCTGCTGTGTTTACTACATTAGAGCACTGATTGCACTTTAAAAAAGGACTATATAGAATCCATATCGACTCTGGGTCATGTTAAAGAAATGAAAGATGTGTATAATTGCAAGTCTATCTTTGTAGTTCTTTGCTACTCTGCAGTTATCACCCTTGGGTGTGCGAATCTGAAAGTACATCTGCAGAATTCTGGGATGGGAGCAGCAATTAAGACAGACTGGAAATTAGTCAGTGGGATGTGTCATTACTTAACATTACCATATCAGATTCCTCTAGGAAGGATTCTATCCATGACCTGTTACTTTAATCTTGATCTCAGTCTCTGCGGTTGGGAGGGATAAACTAATTTGACTACAAGTAACCATTAGGTGAGGATAGAATTGGATGTAGTATCTTAAGTGTTTTAATTACCTGCTGATCGTTGCTGATAGACATAACACATAGCTAAAATGTCTTTTTGTGCCTATAGGGACATGAGCGTGACTCCTCACACATTCATAACCCAAGAAAGAGTCGATGCTTTTGGGGAGGGGGGGGTGCAATATGGAGAGGGAAGTGAGGTGACTAGTTAAGTGAATCAGATATGATCAGTATCATACACCGCCATTCTACAAAGCACATGAGTATTTTGTCACTGTAATGGTGAAGTCTTGATAAATAACAATTTATGATAGTGCTCCAGATGTTTGTTTATTTGGGAGGGGTGAGGTAGAAAGAGAGAACTGTCTTATTTATTAAAGCAAGGAACATCTTCCATTGGAATTGAAATATTTTGCCTCAGTTGTTGCACCGAGCCCAGTGTCAGTGCCAAGTACAATTAGGTCAAGTTTAGGTGCAGGGTGAAACTCCCTTAACAATGACTGACCCGACAATGATTTCTCAGCCAACCCTATGCTTTCTGTGTAACTAGCAGTTAGTGCTCACCTGTGGACTCTTCCTCCTCTAATCATGAAACTGAATTGAAACTATTGAAGAAGAGGATAAAGAAAAGACTGCAAGTTGGAAATGAAAACAACAGGTTAGTCAACATCTATTGAAGAAAAGACACACTGCTGCATATCAGATGTGTATCATCCATCAGGCCTGAAGACTAACGGGGACATTCACTCAATTGAAGGGGCTTGCTGTCAGCTCGAGTCAATGTTTAAAAAGCTATGTGGGAAGCCAATTCAGTTTGTCCTCTAGCAAAAGGGCTCCCTTCATTGAACTGGTTTCATCTTGTGATTTCACTGCTGAGAGGAAAATTTCATCATATTGATCTGTGCTGGATTTGCAACCCACTCTCTGCAGTGGTTAAGCCCTTAAAATAATTAATCTTTTCTTTTGTTTATTTGTGAGATGTGGGCATCATTGGCTGGCCAGCATTTATTGCCTGTCTCTCATTATCCTTGAGAAGGTGGTGGTGAGCTGCCTTCATGAACTGCTGCAGTCCACCTGCTGTAGATTGACCCACAATGCTATTAGGGAGGGAATTCCAGGATTTTGACCCAGTGACAGTAAAGGAATAGCAATATATTTCCAAGTCAGGATGGTAAGTGGCTTGGAGGGTAACTTGCAGATGGTTGTGTTCCCATGTATCTGCTGCTCGGCTTAGATGGAAGTGGTCACGGGTTTAGAAGATGTTGTCAGAGGATCTTTGAATTTGCAGTGCAAATTGTAGATAATTGTAGATAATACACACTGCTGCTACTGAGCATTGGTGATGGAGAGAGTGGATGTTTGTGGATATGGTGCCAATCAAGCGGGCTGCTTTGTCCTGCATGGTTGAGTGTTGCTGGAGCTACACTCATCCAGGCAAGTGGGGAGTATTTCATCACACTCCCGACTTGTGCCTTGTAGATAGTGGACAGGCTCTGGGGAGTCAGGAGGTGAGTTACTTGCCACAGTATTCCTAGCCTTTGACCTGCTCTTGTAGCTACTATGTTTATGTAGCAAGTCCAGTTGAGTTTCTGGTCAATGGTAGCCCGTAGGATGTTGATAATGGGGGATTCAGTGGTGGTAACACCATTGAATGTCAAGGGGCACTGGTTAGATTGTCTCTTATTGGTGATGGTCATAGCCTGGCATTTGTGTGGCACAAATGTTACTTGCCACTTGTCAGCCCAAGTCTGGATATTGTCCAGATCTTGTTGCATTTGAACATGTATCAGAGGAGTTGTGAATGGTGCTAAACATTACGTGATCATCAGCAAACTTCCCCACTTCTGCCCTTCTGATGGAGGAAAGGTCATTTATGAAACAGCTGTAGATGGTTGAGACTGAGACACTACCCTGAGGAACTCCTGCAGAGATGCCCTGGAGTTGAGATGACTGACTTCCAACAACTATGACCATCTTCCTGTGTGGCAGTTATGACTCCAACCAGTGGAGAGTTTGCTCCCATTGATTCCAGTTTTACTAGGGCTCATTGATGCCACACTCTGTCAAATAATGCAGCCTTGATGTCAAGGGCTGCCACTCTCACCTAGCCTCTGGAAGTCAGCTGTTTTGTCCATGTTTGAACCAAGGCTGTAATGAGTTCAGGAGCCGAGTGGGTCTGGCAGAACCCAAACTGGGTGTCATTGAGGGCAGTGACTTTGAACATGGCATTAACCACTGTAAATCTGAAGTGCATATCTGTTACCACATTTTATTTTCAGCTGCTTATTGAAAGCTGTGATTGGGTCTAATTTTCTATCAGGTAACATTGTGCTGACAACACAGTTGAGACAGGTGCATGATCAAAATCCTAGCACTATATTTGAAGGCTGTTAAAGTAAGTGTAAATATTTGCATACTACTCAACTGCAACAGATAAAGACAGGTAACCACATTTTGTTTGATCACTTAATCAGTAAATACATTGTCTTGTGTAGAAATTAGTAATGTTATCAGGAAGGTCCTAGGTCCGCTGTGGTTCAGTGGAAAATGCTGTCATCTCAGAGTCAAGATCATGAATCCATATTTTGCTGCAGGAGAACTGAACTCATGATCTAGGTTGACATTCTTAATGTAAGACTGATGAGTGCCACAATATTGAAGGTTGGAAAATACAGTAAACTGAGGGACTGTCTGTCCCTCAGGTGGACATTGAAGATCCCACTGTCTCTTTTTTTAGATTCATTCGTGGGATGTGGGTGTCACGGGCAGGCCAGTATTTAATATCCATCCCTATTTGCCCCTTTTGAGAAGGTGGTGGTGGTGAGCTGCCTTCTTGAACCGCTGCAGTCCACATGCTGTAGGTAGACCCACAATGTTGTTCCGGAGGAACTTCCAGAATTTTGATCCAACCATCTGATATTTTAAAGAAGAGCAGGGGAGTTATCCTCATTGGCCTGACCCATATTTATCCCTCAACCAACATCACTGAAGCAGATGGTCTTGTCATCATCACAGTGATACTTACGGGGTTAGCCACATTTCCAACATGCTTCATTTGCTATAAAAGTGTTTTGGGATGTCATTAAAGAGATTATATAGATAAAAGTCCTTTCTGTGCCTTGGCTGCAGTGAAGAATGGCCACTTGCATGAACTACGTATACAATGCCAAAACTTGTGAAACTGCAGCCTCGTCAGAAACAACTGATTAGTCATAACATTGCTAGAGTAACAGTTTAACAGAGGAGCAAAGAACGACACTATAATGTACCCTTATTCAATGTGTTGGAGATCATTATTTTATTCTGATATCAGTAAAGAGATTTTCACAATGAAAAATGGTGTATATTCCTTTGGATGCACTAAAGCATTCCAACTATACTTTCTCTGCCAACTCTGTTACCTCACCACATTCGTATCGGACAAAGTCCAACACTGACACCCCCCTTGTATGCAGGAACTGCCCTACAGTTGTGCCCGGGTCCAGCAGAAAAGGCTGTGCCAGCATCTTGGTCTCTGTGTCATCACCAGGTGGGTCCTCCATCGAGCCTACAGATAGTGGCATCATTCCCACAATGTGCTGTCCTAACTTTCGGCCCAGCTCAGACAGGTTTACATTTGAATTCTGTTCCATGGGCTTACAAATCACTAGCGCACCATATTTTCCAAATGTCATCTTTGTGATGGTCGGGTTGTCCACTGGCAACATTCCATGAACATATGTGCCAATATAGCAATCAGTTGGCACGGCCACCCAGGAAGCTCTTCTTATAGTCATATTCTCACCAAGGTTACCTTTAAAATATTTTTAAAAAAGGGAGGTTCAAGTTTGTTTGTAAAAAGCAGGGTTCTTATTCTTGAATGAAGACATTACATGGAAAGGAAATTCTTCAGTGAGAGGGAGCACTTATTGAAATACACTATATTACAAACAAACTTCAGAATGTAGATGGTGATATATTACAGATCATTCACGGTGTCAGACTTGCTGTAGGACATCCAATTTTGCCTGCATGTTGTCATCTGGAGCAATGCATAGTGATGATAGAGACTCGAAATTTCTTACTATCATATAGTTGACCAAGACCCTCTCCCACTCTTTTACCAGCTGCCATGACGTAGGGTGAAAGGGCTCACAGGTTGGTATTCAACCTGTTTGGCTGTGTTATGAACACATCTTCCTGATAACCAAATCTCAGGGTGGGACTCTAATCTAGAGCGTCAGGTAGGGACATCACCCACTCTGCTCCAAGATCACCTAATGAGTTAATTACCAACTTGGTGTAGTAATTGGAGGACAGTGGGAGATCAAGGTGAAAATCAGCGCTAAGGAATGGATACTTCAGCATTTTTTACCCTACTGCATCAGTAGCAGGCATTGCCACGCAAAACAAGTTCAAATATCTAGACATTCGTTCCTTTGCCTCTAGTCACGCTGTCTTTCAATATCACAACTTTGCACCTCTGAGCTTTCCTCTCTTCCTTCTCATAGGCTTCAAATCCCATCCTATAAACTTTTCCTTCTGGCACCCTCACTGTGCTGACATAAAAATGACTGCAGTCTCCGACTCCAACTGATTTCGTCCTGTGCATGGTTTTGTTTCCCTTGGGTTTGAAAATTCAAATAGTGATGACATTTCGAAAGTACTTCATTGATAGTAGTGCGCTTTGAGACATCCTAAGCTTGTGAAAGGTATAATATTACTAGAAAGCTTCCTTTCCTTTCTCCCTCAGTCTTTTCCTCTGGCAATAACCTGGACTAGACCACTGGGATGGTCATATTTATATAAAAAATGGTTTTTGCAGAAACTTGTATTTTAAGCAAGAATAGATACTGCCACCACCACCCCCACAAAGAAAAGGGCAAAGCAGCTCAGTGATCTATGCTTATCCTGCTGATCTTACCAATAGCCAGGGCAAGCTGGTCAGCAATGGGACGACTGTCTAAACTGGTTTTCAATTGTGTTATTTCTTCAGTCGTAAGGGAATTCTGCAAAGTAATTGTGAAACTTTAATATACATGAGATTATAAAATTGTCACTTATTAATCAGAATCACTTTCTCAACCCATCCTTTGAACAAAAAATTTCATTTGAATCTACAGAACATAATGCTGGAAGGAGACTTTTTCCCCCCCAAGAGCAGCCCAGCATAATTTGTGCCACTATTTTCTCTCTTGCTGTTCCTAGCTGCCAGTGCTGGGCTTCCACTTGCTGCCTTTTGGGCAGCAACTAACTATTGTTATTTTGTAGCAGAGCACATTGGCATTTTGACACATTCTGTCAGAAGGAAACACCAATCTGGAAGTGCTACATAAATACAAGATTAAGGAAGGGTGGTGGAGAAGGCGGAAGGAGAAGTCGTCGAACCCTGACAGTTAAGCAGATATTAGGACCATGCCTTTTAGGAAACTCACGAGAGCAAACCTCTCACTAAGCAATAGGATAATATGTCTTGGGTGGCACAGTGTCACAAGATGGTACAATACAGGACAAATATTTGCTCCAGGAATGCTCCACCTGCTGATCCTTCATAATGGGGTGTAGAAAATAGAAGAACAATCCCTGCCAATTCTCTTTTGGTGAATTTTATAGTTCCTGATAACAAGAAAGACGAGTGGTATACCATGACAGCAGATAGTTGCTATAGCAAATTCAATAATCCAATATTTGAAGCAGAACTCCAAGGCATTGTTGATGGTTAAGCAGCCAGTCTTGTGTTACAAATAGAACATCAAGGACTGAGCAGTCAATGGAAGATGGGACTATTCTGATTTAACTTCATACAACTCTACACGACAACGCCCTAATGAATTGTGTAGACCTGGCTGGATCAGCAATGAGAAATTTCCTCAGTGCTGTCAACAGCTAGACTACCTGGGTTTAGCTGGTTAAAACTCAAGAGTAGCCCAGGCATACTTGTAGGTTTTGCTCCTACTGGGAAAGGTCTGCATTCAACAAAAAGAAACCTAGCAGGTATAGCCTTCTCCGTAACAAAAACAGAAATTGCTGGAAAAGCTCAGCAGGTCTGGCAGCATCTGTGGAGAGAAATCAGAGTTTACGTTTCGAGTTGAGTGACCCTTCCTCAGAACGCCTAAGTAGTTTAGTTTGGAGACTCAAATGATGGTGATGGGCTTCAGCTGGCAAACAAGATTCCAGTTTTACTAGAAATAGGAAACACAGACAAACCTTGTTGTAATTGATGGCGTTTGCGTGCTTGGAGTGACAGTGTGCCATTGTGGCAATGGCTGCTTGATGCACTAGCTGCTGGAATTTGACATTCCGGGCAACAAAATCTGTTTCACAATTCACCTGTTGTAGGGGAAAAAAAACCAGTTCTGTCAAAAAGGACCATTTTATTCATAGGATTATTGATTCATATGGAATCTCATAACACAAGAGGAAACTGTTCAGCCCATCAGGCTTTACTGGCTCTTTGGAAGATCAAATATAAAACTAATTCAATTAGTTTTATTCCCCACCCTGCTCTTTCAGAGATTGTTAACTGATTCACACATTAATTCTATTAGGATAGGACAGAATGACTCATGTGAATGTAGATTCCATAGTAAATTGAGGGAATTGGATATGTACTTAAAAAGGAGAAATTTGTAGGGCTCTGATGAAAGAGCAAGATGGGTTGGTGGTGGGGAATGGATATCTCTTTCAGAGAACTGATGCAGGTACAATAGGCTGGATGCCCTCCTATGCTGTAAATGGCATGATTTAACACATTTGTATCACTTCGAACCAAACATTCTTTATCTTTACCTCCACCAGAACAGCTGAGTTTCCATCTTGCAGCAGTCCAATGAGGCCCTCGTTTGTTTTACGACCTTGGAGTTTAGAAGCTTTACTCCATCCTTCCTTATGGGCCTGTCTGTGCAGCCAGGCTTCAGCCTTTGAAAATAAACCACTTTGATTACCTTCTAGACAGTAACAAATTATTTCATCCCTGGAAACCATGATATTTCCCTCATTAATCCTTTGGAGTCTGCACCCTTTTCGCCAGCCATCTTCAAATATCGCAAACAATTTAATTTGTTTACATTTCAAACGCAGGAATATTATTTCACAGTCTACCTCGTTTTGAATTAAGAAGTTATGCTTTAAAACATTTTCTACTCCATTCTTGAATCACGTATATAGAGAACGGGCTTGTGCATTTGTAATGGGTATTACAAGGATGCTGTCATGTTACTTAACACTGAAAATGGAGTCAGACACTCAATGAAAAAGTAGGCCTGAGTTTTTAATGTATGAGCGATCGGATAAAGTGATATCATGTTTGCATTACGAGAGGGGTCCACACTGTAACAGACTGCATCCCTACTTTACAAAATTAATTCCACTTTAGATGTACTTTATCCTGTAAAGCACTTTGGGACATCCCAAGGTTGTGATAAGTGCAACATAAATATGAGTCTTGTCAGCATAGGTATCACAGATGCGGAGGATTTGAATATTAAAAATCATATCATCATTGCATCCTTTGCTGATTTTCATTCACAGTCCTATACCAGAAGCTGTGTGAATATGAAGCCTCAGTTCAGGTACTGGCCTATAGAAACTAAATTTTTATGTTGAACAAAAATAAAAAGTCCCAGGAACTAGACCAAGCTGTAAGGGGTAAAACTTGTATGTGAAGCCTTGAACAGTTGGAGAGCCTGCCAACACCAAAAATGTAGGCTCCCACATGAGGAATGGCAGTTTAGATGGAAATGAGGTTATGCTCTTTGTAGAAAAAATAAAGGGACTGAATATAATTTAAATGGAGAAATGCTGCAAAGTTACAGCACATGAATCACAAAAAGCTTTCCTCCAACTTCAGCAGGTAATAGGGGAGGCAAATTGAATAAAGGCCTTTATTTTGAAGAGAATGAAGTATAAAAATAAGGAGTTCTTGCTAAAACAATGCAAGACACTTATTAGAACACATCTAGAATATTGCAAACAGCTTTGGTCCCCTTATCTAAGGAAAGATACATTGATATTGGAGGCAGCCCAGAGAAGGTTGGGTAGGTTGGGCTTGTACTCATTGGAGTTTAGAAGAATGAGAGACAACCTTACTGAAACATGCAAGATTCTCTGGAGCCTGACAGTGTGGAAAGGTTGTTTTCCCTTGGTGGGAGAGTCTAGGATCACAGGGCATAACCTCAGAATAAAGGGTCATCCATTTAAGACAAAGGAGGAATTTCTTCTTTCAGAGGGTAGTGAATCTGTGGAATCCTTTACCACAGAGAGCTTGTAGAGGCTTTATTGTTAAGTATATTCAAGGCTGAGACAGATTTTTAATGAGTAAGGAAATCAGGGTTCTAGGGAACAGAGAGGGAAGTGGAACTGTAGATTATCAGATCAGCCATGATTTCACTAATTGGTGGAGCAGACTCGATGAGCTGAATGGTCTACTTCTTCTCCTACATCTAATGGTCTTATGGTGATCTATAACCCAAGAAAGTCCCAGTTTAATTTCTGATCTGTGTTCAGTCCGCTGCTGTAGTCAAAGCAACTGTGGAATGCTGCAACTTCCCAGGAATAGCAAAGAGGTGACAAAAATAATTAGACTGAATTTCCTGCTTGCTATCCAATCAACTTGGGATTGCTCATGATGGCCCTATAGTCAAATGGTCAGCTAAAGATACAATCAAAAAAAAAATCAAGCTTTATATCTGAAGAATGCCCTCTTGAAGTGAGGTATCAAAGGGCTGCCTTTACCTATGGAACCATATCATACTTTCAGGTTGGAGTTTGAAGGGAAACATGCATTAGGGTACCCAACAGCAACTTTGACATTATAATTTCCACCTACCTGCTGAAGGTCGCTGCTAAACTTCTCTAAGGCTTTCTTACAATTCGTAAACGAGTATCCTGTATTTTTCCGGAGTTTCAGGAGGAGTTCTTTATCAGCTGCCATTAATCTAACCCCAGGACAGTGCAGAAACTGGGTTGACCGTGCAGAAAAGATCTAACAAAAGCGAATAGAAATCTTAGGGAACTTTGTAACACAATCTACACATTTACACATTAGTTCCACAATGTTGCTTACTAAAATTCAATCAAACGTCACAATCCCTTCTCGCTTGCTCACGGTGCACTCTCAGGATTGCTCCAACTCAATACTTTGTGACAGAGGGATATAGTTTCTGTGTTTCCCTCTCACCATATGGTAAGCCTGTCAGTTCAGTCACGTTTCAGTGGGCAGATATCATGGGAAGCCAGGCACTTCTCAACAAGGAGAAAAAATTTGCAAGGCCAATTATTGTGTCAAAAAGAATGGAATTTAAATGGGGCCCTTTCACTTGTACGGGAGCTGGGAGGCTCCATGTGCTCAGTAGCTTGCTCTTCGGGATAGCAAGAGCTAGAGATGCTGGAGTCAGAGACAACACAGTATGGAGCTGGAGGAACACAAGCAGGTCAGGTCAGGCAGCATCAAAGGAGCAGGAAAGCTGACGTTTGGGTTGGGACTCCTTCAGAAATGGGGAGGGGTAAGGGTTCTGGGAAATAAAGAGAGAGAGGAGGGGTGGGGCTGGGGAAAGATAAGTGGGGTGGCAATAGGTTGATGACT